ATCCGCCCGCCTCGGCCTCCCAGAGTGCTAGTGGCTTGCCTTATTTCTGAAGCAGCCATTACTGCCAGAATTATGGATGACTCTGAGGCAAAAGAGGGATGATGAATGAATGGGGAGGGGAGGCCTTGAAGTGAGGGGCTGGGGTTATCAACCATCCTGAACACAAAGGAGAGGGACCAGCCCATTGTCGAGGTGGGTGCCACTCATGAAGCCCCGTGGTGGCAAAATCCTGGAGAAACAGGAAAGGTCTCATAAGAGATCCTGAGCCCTGGCTGACTGCAATGGGGTGTCCCTTCCCAAGCCCTTCCAAACCTGGCAGCGTGGGAACAGCCTTCCTTTCCTGTGCTTACAACAGAGGTTTATTGTGCAAGGGCACATACTGGGCTCAAAGAGAAAGGAAAGCCTGGTGATGGTGGTGGTTGTGGGTGGCGGGGGCGGGGGGGATTAGGTGACAAAGTGGAAAGCCAGGTTCCACACCAGGTGAGTGGAGCATGGTGCTGAGTCATCCGAAGCACCAAGGTCTCAGCAGTTAGGACCAAGGAGGTCCATCAAAAGACTTACTCTCCCTGTTCCTCAGTTTCCTCATCTGCAAAACAGGGATGATAAAAATACATACCTCATGGGGCTGTTGTGAGGACTGAAGGAGGTGGCTTACATAGAGTGTTCAGGACAGCGTCTGACACAAAGCAAGTGCCATGGAAGCACTGGCCGGAATGACGACTACGGCGTCTGCTTCCGTTATTACTGTTTGTAGGGAGCCAATCTGAAGAAGTGCACTGGGCTTTAGGGGCATGGAAGCTTCTGGGTGGGAAACTGCAAACAGCTAGCCAGGCAGTCGGACTCCAGAGCCAGCCCTCCTAACTGGCATGCTCTGCCACCTTCCCAGAAGTGGCAGAACAGATTAGTGGTCAAGATAAGAGACCACGGCGTCAGACAGATCTCGGTTGGGATCCTGGCTCCACTGTTCACTAGCAGTGTGTGCATCTGGGTTTGCTGCTTAACCTCTCTGTACCTGTTTCCTCGTCTGCAATATGGGGATACCAACAGTACCCAACTCATAGGTAAAGACTTCAAACAGCACTCAGTGTTAGTTTTTATTATTAACATGGGCAGTAGAGAGCTTAAGCACCTCAGCTCTATGGAAACAAGGCTCTAAATTGACCTTTATGAACACTGTTGGGATAAACACTCCTTGTTTGGGTGGAAAATAGCTGCTTCCTGTCCTAAGGCTCGTTTAGAGCATGGATGGCATTTCCCCGGATTGGCCACTAGATGGCACGCATGCTCTTCCCCGCCCTACCTGAGCGGCTCAGCGTCAGAAATAACGCCTGAGTGGGAAAGTCACCTCCTAGATGCCAGACGCTGAGCTGCACCCTGCGCCTACTTTCTCGCTGCTCACAGCAGTCCTCGGATTAAAGGAGCCGCTCCCCACAAAACTCTAAGCACAGCGCCTGGCATATGGTAAGGCTTCAAAACACATTTGTTACGCTTCCTATTGTTATTATCCCCGTTTTCCAGAGGGGGCACTGGGGCAGAGAGGGTGAGTAGACAGATGGAGCCTGGACTCTAAGCCAGACCCGGTGCTGACTGCAAATTCAGACCCATTTCAGGGGACGCTCACCTCAAGGTGCCCTGCCGCATCTACTTTTGCCCTCTCGATTCCTTCTGGCTCTACCACTTTCTTCCTCCCAATATGATCTTAAACCAATTAGGCTTTCAGAGCCTCAGTTTCCTATCTGTACAATAAGGGTTATACTACCTTCCTTATTTTCGACATACTTGGGAGACAGACCAGAGTAGACACTCTGTGGATGGTGGTTACTGTTAATGCTACATGTTAACATGACCAGAGTGCGTTCATTAGTTCCCTCCTTACCTCCCTCCCTCCCTTCCTTCCTTCTTCTGTGTGCCTGGAACTACAAAGTACTCATGGTTTCTGCCCTCATGGAACTTACAGTCCAAAATTTCCCAGTCTCTGTCCATTCCTGGGACAATCCCACCCCCAGTGTGTCCTTTTCTCCTGTAAGCCACAGGGATCTGGTGCCACCGTGGGGGTCCCTCTCTCGGCAGGACCCAGTTATTATAGACCACACAACTCACATCCCACCTCCCCCCCTGCCGTGGTGCTTCCAAAGCAAGCCCACACGTTCTTTAGACACTGCCAGACATCTCCAAATGCCAAACTATCTGATTCTGTTCATTCAGCTTCCACAGTGGCTCTCTAACTGGCTTTGGGATCAAAAGATTGTGCTGGGGTGCCTGAGCCTTTGGGACGGAGACGCGTGCTGGGAAGATGGGGTCTCATGAGCTCATTCTTGTTTACAGTAGAACAGCTCTGGTTTTATCTAATTTATATATTGGACCTATGTATAATATTCTGCGGCTAAAGAAAACCACTGAAGACAACTACCGTGGCAGGTGGAAAGGAGAAGAGTTTTGAGATAATTGAGAGAAAATCTCCAGGAAAGAGATTTGCTTGGGAATGTGCTTTAAAATTAGTTTCCAAGGAAAGAAGAATTTAATTTTTGAATCATAGTAATTTGGGGGTTATCTGGAACCCCACTCACCATCGCTGCTGACTTGACTCATTTGGGCTGGTCCCATGCTGCCGACCTCAGCTAGGCCTTGGGCCACGTCCCGCCAGGCTGGCTCAGGACTCCACCTTTTCTGTGTTGCAGTGCCCTGGTTCCCAAGAACCATCCAAGAGCTGGACAGATTTGCCAACCAGATTCTCAGCTATGGAGCGGAACTGGATGCAGACCACCCGGTGAGTCCGTAGCCCTCAGGATGAGATTCTTTCAGTTCCTTCCCTCCTCTTCCCTTCCTGTCCCCTCCTCTTCCCTTCCTCTCCCCTCCCCTCCCTGACCCTTCTTCTCCCACATCCTCTGCTTGGAGCAATGTGTTTGTTTACTTGTTCAACAAACATATATTGAGTTCCTACTTACGCCAGGGTGGGGGAAGTAAAGATTAACATGACGTTGTTGTCATCATCATTGTCATGATCACTATTATTGTTGGAGCAAATATGAATCACTGTCTGGAAATGACTGTCTCTACATAGACACAGACACACAGAGATGTAAATGGTCTTTGTTTCTGCCTTTGCACATCTACGGAGGTTTAAATTAAGTGCTTGGGAAACAGTGACCCATGCTGACAACTCTGACAGCTGCAGAGGTGGTGGGGAGTGGCGGTAGTGGAACTGGATCTCGAAAACTGCATAGAAGATTCTGGTCCAATAAGGAAAGGGGCGGCCTTAGGGCTGAGAGGATGGTACATGTGAAGACTCAGAGTCCTGAAAGCATCGGGATGTTTGGGGAACGCTGGTTGGTGCGTTGGGTATGACGATGAAAGATGCAGCTGGGCAACGTTTGGGGACAGGTTTTAAAGTCTGATGTGCCAGAAAGAGGATTGTGGACAGATCCTCATGTCTTAACAGTTTTTGAGTAGAGGGCCAGGGTGGGGCAGGTGGTCCTGGGGAGGCGCAGCCCAGTTCCAGCAGCCCCCATGGGTGGGACGTGCCACCACCTTGTGGGCTGCCCTTTACTCTCTGCCAGGCAAATGACTCCTTCATCTTTAAATGACTTGGAAGCTGTTTCCATCACAGGGGTTTAGGGTAGCTCAGAAGGAGTATCTCTGCTTCCTCAGGAACCTGGTTTCCTCCCACATTTGTGTGGGTCTTTACTGTTGACGACGAACTTGTTCTTCACAAAGGCACTTTTCAGGAAGCAAAGCAGATGTTTCCATCATAGAGACAGATGTGGGGAGGCCCAGGGAGGGTGAATGACTTTCCTGAGGTCCCGTGCTAAACTCTGGTCCTGTGTGTTCACCGTGCCTGAAGACAGAGGCCCAACTAGGGGCAGAAATCCAGGCCCTTCTCCCGAGGCAGAGAGAACGTTGCTTCAGGGGCAGGCTGGCCTCTTGAAATAGGAAGAACTGATGCCTCTTCTAGTTCGAATAGTAAAACCCCTTATAGTGGACTTGAAAATACAGAAAAACATGAGGAAGAAAATGAAGGTCAACCAGAATTTCAGATATTCATATTTTTCTCTCTCATTCTGTTCTGCATTTTTTAATAATGAGAAAGTATATATAAACAGAAATAAAGGTGAAATTCTTCCTGTCTCCCAGACTTCAAAACAGAAAAAAAAAATCACCTATTATCACACTGTCCTAATATAATCAATATTAACACTTGGACGTTCTTCCTCCTCCTCCTCCTCCTCCTCCTCCTCATCTTTCTCTCCTCACTCTCTCTCTCTATGTGTGTGTGTGCATGTAACTATCTCTCTATATATTTTTAATGCAGGGCCCTAAGTTACTAACCAGCCCCCCATAGCAAGGATGTAGGAGGTTTCCGATCTTTCACTATTAGCATAACCCTGCAGTGAACATTCTTGCATCTTTATGTGAACTTCCGAAGGCTGCCTTGAATCTTAGTTGTGAAATGCAACTAAATTGTCTTTCAACTAAGGATAGAAATTATATTTAAGACTCCTAATACATATGTTACTTAAATATTCTCCCTCCCCAAAACCAAGGTGAAGTTGGAGGTGTTTGATCCAGTTCCATCTCCCGATGCAGCGAGTTCCTATGGTGCCAGGGGTGGCCAAGGCCGCTTCGGGCAAGGCTCTGTATGTGTTTTTGACAGGTCTCTGTCTGGGGCGTCTTAGCTGTCTCTCCCTGTCCACAAAGCATCTACAAAGATCTTGTTTCTCAGAAAAGCTGCCTGTTTGCCTCTGACCCTGTCCCTGGGGTCTGCCCATTAGGGCGTTTTCTTCTCTTACCAACCCTCGGTCTCCCAGCCCTGACCCCACATTCCTCCCGTTGGCCCCACTCCCTGTTCATCCCGGGCAGTGGGAGAAGCTAGTCCAAAGAGATAGACATTTCCCTCCCTTTGTCCTTGTGTCCCCTCTGAGGCAGACCAGGCTGGCCTTGAAACTCTCTGGAATTCACTGCTCTTTACAAGCCTAGCCCACAGATTGGCTCCATGGCCTCTCAATGCCATGTATTTTATCATAAAAATATAACTTATCAGGTACACAGTCCCCTGAAGAGGAGGCGCCAGGCTCTTGCTGTTCCTCTGGTTTTTCATCAGATCCCAGGGACATGGGCCAAGAACACCGCAAACCCTCCAGGATGCTTCCCCACAGCCCCCAGGCCCCCATGCCTGGCCTCAGTGTGTGAGCTGCAAACAGACAGCGGTCCAAGGGGTGGTGTTGGGGGGTGGGGTGTTCTTCTTGAAAGGACCCTCTGTTCTCTCTGTCCCCTCGTATGCAGCATGATCTCTTCTTCCCCTGACCCCTGCCCTTGGCAGTATGCACTGATGTTTGACCCAATATCTCACATCAGGGCCTCCAAACAGCCACTTTGAAAAATGAGGTGAAGGGAGGATTGTTCCCGAAATGTAGGGCAAAGAGCATCTGCCTTTCAGCTTCAGCTAAGTGGGAAAATGAAATGGGCTCACTGGTCTCCCCTCCATCTATCCTACCTCCTTTCCTGCATTTCCATTCTCCCTTCTTCCCTCCTTCCCTTCTTCCTTTCTTCCTTCCACAAACATTTGTTAAGCTAATGATATTAATAGCTAACATTCCTTGAACACGGACTGTGTGCCGGGCATTATGCCAAACACTTGGCATGTGTTTTATAATTTACATGTCAGCACCACCCTGTGAGGGTTGGATGTGCCATTTCCTGATGAGAAATTTCTAATGGGGAAGGCTGGGTGGCCTCATGTGTACTTGAACTATGTGCCGGGCCATGTAAAGGAAAGGAGGTTGAAACGATAAATAAGACATGATCCCTGCCCTCCAGTGCCCTATAGTTGTGCAGCAGAGGGAAAAGACTGTTGATTCTTCTCAAAGCCATGCCAGAGGGATCCAGGATAGCAACTGTGAACTTGGCAGGCAGAATCCAAATGGTCCTGTATGATTTCCATTTCCAAAATTGACTGACCATTTTTCAGCCTCTGTCCATGTTGTTCCTTTTACCTGAGATGCTTTTCCTTATCATCCCACCTGTTCTTTCCCCACTGGTGAACCTCTGTTCATCTTTTAAGGTCCAACTCATATATCTTGCCTCCCTAAAGCCTCCTTCCTATTTCTTTCCCAGGGGAAAGCTCTTCACACTGTTACTGTAGAAAGAACTACATACGTGTCTCAGAGATGGTAACTATCACGTTGTGTTCTACACTTTGTGCATAGAGTATCAGATCACCTAAATTTACTTCTTCATGACCTGTAACCTCATAAGAAGCACAAGGTATATATATGCAAGTCAAAGGGCCATATTCATGTTTCTCCCAAAAATGTAGTCCATGAAAAAAATCCCATGTTCAGAGAAAGAAACACTGTATTCTATAACCCCCTTTTTTAAGCATATACAAGTCCCGTTATCTCATTAGGGCTTTGGAAAGTCCTGCAGAAATGAAACTTACTCAACCTAATCTTTTCTCAAACTATTTACCCATGGAACCCCATAGAATGGAACACTTAGTAACATTATCATGAATGGTAGTGTTCCATGGAACACAATTTGGATAATAGTTAGTTAAATCGTAACTCAAGAAGGTACATAATTAAAGACCAGGTTTTATGAGTCAGATAGCATGTGCTATCAGTTCTAAAGTCACTGTGGACTGGATGGTTGGGGGGACTTCTGGAAGGAAGAGGTCTGAGTTGATGCCTCTGGCAACCAGGGTAGGCTAAATGCTTGTCAAGCAAGCTCCATGGCCTAACCCAATAAAAGTTTACTTCCGATGTGGGCCAGTAGGGAAACTACTCCACATGGTCTTTCAGAAATCAAGGCTCCTTCCACTAATGGCTGCATCCTCCTCCAACTCCTTGCAGTCCTCTCCATTCTGCCAGTGAGTGGGAGAAGAAAGACTGAAAATCGCCCCTGGGAGGCTTTTGTGGGCCATGTCTAGAGATGGTTCCCATCCCTCCTCTCAAATCCCATTGAGTGGAGCTCAGTCACATGGCCACTACTTACTGCAAAGGAGACGGGGAAAGCAGTTTAGCAATGTCCTCTGAAAAAAGGAGGGAGGACAGACTTTGGGAGCACTAGCAGTCTCTGCCACACACACCCTAACCCCAGTGCTCCCTTTCTCGTTTACCGGACACCTGCACTTGAGTCTAGGCTGAAGATCTTCACTCCAGAGGGCTTCCTGGTGGAGAAAATTTCAGCCAACACAATTGTCCTTCTGTGTATATTTCTACTTCTTGATCCAAGTCTCTCAAACTGAGTCTTAGTCTTTCAAGGTGTGGGCATTGAGGTTCCCTACTGTCCAGAAAATTCCTCAAGAACAGAGATATATTTTTCAATACTTTTCTCCTTTCTTCATCTAAAAAGCCACCCAACCATCTCCACCTGAGGGCTCTGTCAGAGTTTATTCTAAAGATCAGCCAGTTAAGTCATCAAACACTGGTTGCACTCTGACTAAGTTGCTCTATTGAAGCATAACTTTCAAAAAGTTAAAAACATAATTGTAATACGAGTATATAGTGAACACCTGTTAAAGATCCATTTGACTCATTAATGAGGGAACCAGAAAAATGACAAAGATACAAATGACCAAGGTATAAATGATCTTTGAAAAATAGAATGCTGAAATACAATCAGTAAGATGGATGCACAAATGATTACTGTCCCATAAAGCAATAAAGCCATAATCATGAATTATTATTTCTAGTAGATAGAAATAATTTGTAATTCGATCATAAAATAAATATTTTGCAACTTATCAATCTTCGAAGTGGTTGGACCTTA